TTATGTTATTCAAGTTTTGAGCACTTGATATCTCTGGGCCGGGCATGCAGCACAGTGGAAGAAAACTTGCCTGATGTATTGGAGGCCCTGGGATTGATTCTTAGCACCACAAAACAACAACAACAATAACAACAAAACTCTCTTATAACTGCTACAAGGCAAGTTTAGGTAAACAGCAATTGTGATATTGGATGCTGGTAGCTCTATCATTTCTCTGAAAGACTTTTGTGCTTTACTTCAGAAGTCTATGTTGTCTTTTTTCTATATGCCCTACTCTTTGTAATGTCTTTTTTTGCCAGTCTTTCAAACTTTGCTTCCACCAGTTTCTAACTCTAAGATTTATGTATAAATAACATCATTCATACCCACAGTTTCAGCTATTAGCTAAATACTGACTACTGTCAGAATCATGTCATCAAAGTACACCCAACTGCCTGCTGTGCCTCAAGTTTTGTTCTAGTTTTCCTTTAGAGTGATAGCATCACTTGGCTTGTGTGTGGCTACCAAAGACCAAAATGACATTTTACTCTGTTATTTTTGCAGACAGTTAGGGCTATGACCAAACATGGCCCATGGGACATAGCTGGACATGTTAGGAGGCAACGTTTGAAAACTCTTCAAAGAAGAGCATGTGTACAATCTTTCTTCTTTTTTGTGTCTGCCTGCATCCTCCTGCTTAAGGTTCAGCTTCCACCTTGTTGGACTCTGAGGTTAAGATCACAGATTACAGAGCAACAAAAGAAAAAATATTCACTAGGTTCTCTTTAGCTGCACAGTTCCTCCAAACAAGCTAATCTCTCCATTACTCACCTAAATCTGAAAGCGTAGACCATGCCATTTCCCTTAACATCAAATTGGGTTTACTTATGAGAATTTCAGATTTTCCTGGATTCACTTTCCTTTTCTTTGCCTCCGTTATATTCATTTCTTCAGCTTTATTTTCAGTTACTCACAGCCACTTATTTACTATTTACATCTCAGAAACATTTTAATAATAAAAGAAAATGCATTCTTTTTCATAAAATTTCTTTTAGAAATTCAAAGCAAACGTTATAATGCCAAGATATCAGAAAACCAGAGATGGGGCTTGTTATTCTTCCTGAAGATCACAGAAAATCCAACATTGAGAGCCTCATTTCTTTCATTAACCCAGTATCTTTCATGTTTTTTTTCATCTTTCAGAGTTGCCGAGGAGCATTTGTTTTTGGTGTTGTTCTGGATTCTTAAAATATTTGGAGATGCGGTATCACTGTTAGATCTTCTTGGCAGGTTTTAATAAGATAGGAAAAACTGAGTTTCTTCTGTGTGTTTGTATCTTGTCAAAGAAACAAAAAGGAAGCTAATATTATTTGCTCCTGAGCTCAGTGCCTTTTTCTGCAGTTCAAACTTGAGAAAGCTCCAACTCAGCTTCACCTGTGTGCACACATGCTCACCTTCTCACCGCATTCTGGCTCTGCTTAGCTGCTGCTTTATCAGTGTTTCCTTCTCCTTTTACCCTGGGCAAAATAACAGCCTCTTCCTGACACTCTTCTAACACTTTCTTAGAGCAAGACCTGACAGTGAAACATACCATTATTTGTAACTTTATTTACTTCAGGGCTTCTTACACTAGATATGAACTATGCTAAAACTTCCTCTTTTAGTTCTTTGAGCTGTACACCATAAAGTATGCAAATATGGAGGAAATAATTAATATAAATGTGTTAAATGGATGAACGCTAGGAAAGTAAGAAGTAAGTAGAGTGTGTGAGGGTACTGAGAGTGGAGATTAACTGACACAGCTGCATTTTCATCCTAATTGGTCTAGAACAATGGGCCTCACCTTCAGCCTTTGATGTACTATTTTGGAACAAAATTCAAGAACTTGTCTTTCTAATAAGCTTCCTGTTGATGTTCATGCTGATGTCCAGGGAATCTCATTTTGTTTCAATGAAGTAAATTTTTATACCATTTGAAATTGTATTTTTAAAACGATTGCTTAAAGTCTTTATTGAATCAATTCTTCTCTCATTTTATTTCTCTTGAAAAATTAGCAGTGATTCATCCAAGGTAGAATTCTTTAGGATTATTTTATATTGGAGAGGTAGTCACAACAAATATTCTGTTTAATCAGGATACAGGAGTCAACTCTCATGCATAATAGAAGTGATTATATGTTTGATGCCATTTTTAAGTGAAACAGTGTATTTTTAATAAATATAAAAATAATATACTAAAATGTTCATGGCATAGGAAATACCATCTTAATTATTTTTCAGTGGTACTGTTCTGTGATAAGCACATCTCATGGCTGCTGAGCAGTCTCCAGAATTCTCACATTTTGCAAAACTGAAACCTTGTGATGGCTGAGCAATTACTTCATATTTCTCCTTTTTCCAGCCCCTTCCTAGAAATCACCATTCCACTTTCTCTTATGTGAAGTTGCTTAACACCTCATATCCGTGCAGTCATACAGTACTTGTCTTTCTTGTGACTTCTTGTTTTACTTTTGCACAATATCCTCAAGAGAAATGCATGTTGTAGAATGTGTTAGACTCTCTTTTCTTTCAAAGGCTGAATTATGTTTCTTTGTATATGTGGTGAATTGACAACTGGCGGTCAACTTGTAACAGCCAGCTGAAGTGAACCAGCATGGTGCTGGGTGTGGGAGGCCCACTTGAGGATTGTTGCCAGCAGCACAAGCAGAATGGGAGAAGAAGGAGTTAGGCTGTTGGGAGCTGAAAAAGGCTGTTGGGAGCTGGTAGAAGCTGTTGGGAGAGTGTTGAAAGCTGTCAGAAGCTGTAAGGAGCTGTTGGTTCTCTTGGAAAAGCTTGTCATGCTGGCTTTCCTGATGAACTTGGCTGTTTCATCCTCTGAATAGCTCCGAACCTTGTTATTGCTGAGAATGGCTTCGGTTCACTTTGGGGGAGCTCTGGTTCTTACTTTGAGCATCATTTCTTGGCTCCAGCACAAATCAGTCAGCCTGCTAGCATAGACCCTTCATCCCACTGGCACAGATTTTCTAGATTCCACTACTGACCTTTGGGCCTTCACAGCACAGATCTATGAAACAGGCCTGTGTGAGACATTGTCATGAGCTTTAGGCCTCCAGTTGGACTTGAGGGGTCCTTGTTATAGGCTGTAGGTCTTTAGCTGGAGTCATGCAGGACATTATTGTAGAATCCAGGGCCTCAACTGGATTCTTTGGTCTTTAGTGTGTGGAAAGATCTCCTGCACTTTCTTGTATCTGATTCTTTGCATGACTCTTATAAATAATCTTATATAATATGTGTCCTTTATTACATTGTTCCCCTTGCGAAGCCCCAAACAACAACAGTATGTATATCCACGTTCTTCTTCTGTATTCACTTGTTGCTGCACATTAGGGCTTCTTCTGTCTTTTTGCTATTGTGAATAATGTTGTTGTGAACATAGGTTACACATACCCTTTGTTGTGTCCACCTTTTATTCTTTTGAATATAAGCACAGAAATAGAATTGCTGGATTACCAGTAATTCTATGTTTATTTTTTGAAGTAATTTCAAAGGATTTTTCATTTTACTGTCTACCAACAGTACGCAAGAGTTCAAATGTCTCCGCATCCTAGCTGGTACTTCTCATTTTCTATATTTTTATACTAGTCCTAGATGTGAGTACCAGGTGATATCTCATTCTGGTTTTGACTTGCTTGTCCACAGTGGTCAGTGATGTACAATGCAACTTTTAGACTCTTCTCATCCAGTACCACATCCTGGTGAGCTGAAACACACATCAAGGCACAGGCACCATTGTCCAGACCTGGCTTAGCTCCAGTGGGTCCTGTCAATGTTGGCGATGTTCACAGTGGGACATATCACCAGGCCCCTGTTTTCACTCTCTAAATAATTCCCTTCCTAAGTTTTAAGAACTCAACTATCAGTAACTTTTAACCTTTTAACATTAAAATCAAAATATTCTTTCAACTCTAGAATTATAATTATTTTTCTTTATGGGGTCTGAGAACACATCTCTTTGTAACTGCATGTTATTTATCTGTGTAATGCTATCATTTATGCCACAAATTCCCTCAGTTGATACCAAACATCATGCAACTGGATATTGGTTTTGATTACTTTTTTCTCTTTCTAGAATTATATTGGTGCTGAGTAGAACAGTGAAAAATAATAAATATTGCAGTTGCATTATTTCAGAACAGCATGTCCTTGTGGTTTTCATAACATGCAAGCTAAATTAGAATTATTTATACTAAAATCACATTAGCTGAGGCTCTTGGATCCTGAATACCCTATATTTTACCTATTTTATTTAATCTGACGAATGAAAACTGGACTGTGACTAAGTATGTGGAACAACTTTGGTTGTAATAATTCCATTCAACCTTGTAGCCTTTTTCTTTGACATAGAACACAGTAAAGCAAAGCTAAATATGACAAATTGTTTCATATTTTACACTTGTGCTACTTACTTTTAATATAAACATGAATTCCCTGAAAACAAAGTCAGCTTATTCCATTATCTTCAGAAAGTTAGCACATATTTCTCAGATGACTCTGACATTTGTCTTCTTTACTAATAGTGTGCAAAGATGGCTATTGATATAACATGCTTACTGTTATATCCAGATAGCAAAGAAAAAACCCTTCTAAAGCAAGCATTACACTATCATCAAGTAAGTGCCACAAAATGAGAAATATTCTAATATTGTGTTGAAAAGAATTGCTTTGTGCTCTAAGTGCTTATAGAAGATGTAAATGTCTCTGCCTACAATTTTCAATCAGTATCTCTATTGTTCAGGGAAGTCGATGACAGAATAAGCACCCGGTAAGTATTTTATTCAGAGGAGGAAGAAAACAAAGAATATGAGTTCAAGGTAGGCGGACAGGTGGATTTAGTAGTACTAAGGACCTGCTGATTCCAGACACTATCACAATGGCTCTATTATTTGTATAGCAGGAGAAGAACATTGTGCAGAAAAACTAACTTAATTAACAAATTTATGTTAAAATTGCCAGTAGTCTTACTTGGAGGCAGATCCTTCATTTTGGGAATATAAAAATACTCCCTGAAATGCCTTAGCCCATCTTCCTCATCGAGGCGGAGGGCCACCTTCTCATCAGCTGGGTGGCAGTTGAGTTCAGCTGCAGTGCGTTGTACTCTGTCAGCTGGCAGCTCAAGAGGGGAAGTCTCCATTACAAATGGTGCTCTGAAAAGGTAAAAAATAATAAAACAATCCAGGCAATCTCAATTTTGAGGGGAAAATTAGCTCTTTCTGTAATATACCTTTTTAAACAACAGGTTAAGACGATCATTTTCCTATGCACTAATAATAACAGAAACACTGAATCTACTGGTGATATAATTGGTGAGACTCTTGAAGACTTTGATATAGGGAAAGAATTTATGAACAGAAGCTCAGCTGTGTGAGAAATAATAGTAAAAAATAACAAATGAGAATATCTGAAATTTAGGTTTTGCACAGCAAAGGAAACTATCAATAATATGAAGAGATAACCCACAGAGCAGAAAAAATAACCTTTGTCAGTTACTCACCTGAAAGAGGACTAATATTTAGAATATATAAAGAACTAAAAAAAATTAGACCACAAGATATGAACGACTGGATTAAAAATGGGCAATCAAATGATTTAAAAACTTCTTAAAAGAAGAAGTGCAAATGACCAATATGTACATGAAAAATGTTCATCCTCTTTAGCCATTAGGGAAATGCAAATCAAAAAGCATTGATACTCAGTATTATTTCAGACAGAATGGCAATCATTGGGAATTCAAAAAGCAAAAAGTACGATGAGGTCTTAGTGAAAAGGGAATCTTCTACCATGTTGGTGGGAACATAAGTTAAATCACTCAGGAAATCAACATGGACAACCCTCTAAAAGCTAAAAATAGAAATTCAATTTTACCGAGACATACTTCTTCTGTCATTATATCACATCAATACATGCACACCTATGTTTATAGGGGAACAATTCATAATAGTTAAATTACAGAAGAAGCCTAGGTAAGCATTAATGATGAATAGACAAAGAAAATGTGGTATGCAGGAATCGTAAGTTCTACTTGGACATAAATTCAAGTCATCTGTAGGAAACAGGTTAATCTTGATGTAAGAGGGAGGTAGACTTTTGAAATGGGAAAAAAGAGCTGGGATGAGGGAAAGGGATGGGCAAGAAGAGGGAGGAAAATTAAAATGGGTTAAAATACGATAGATATATGTACTAATTGCCCAAGATGATTATAATGTCAGATAGTTACAGCTATGAAGAAACAAAGCACAGTAAGGAGATGGAATCACTAGGTTGTAAAAGGGCAACATTAGGGTGGGTATGTGCTTTTATTCTGAAGGAAAAGTGTGGGATCATTTCTAAATCTACACCTGGGCCTGAAGGAGACAATAGCAAGGGCAAAGGTCCAGTGGAGGAGACAGATGTGTTCTTTTCCCTAACTCACCGCAGAAAGCTGAGAAGCCTGATGATGATAGTACAGAATGTGCAATGGGCACAGTAGAAAGTTAATCATGAAAAGCTTGGAAGGGTGGAAAAGAATTGAATATTTTTCCAAGTTGAATGGGAAATCACTGGAGAGTTTTGAAGAGAAAAGTGATCACATAATTTTATATTAAATACAAATCACTGCACTCTGAAAAGTCATAAAATTGAAGGAGACAAATTGGGGTTATTATAGTAATTGAGAGAGAAGGATGAGGATTAAATTGTGTCATGAGAGGAAAGGTGGAAAGAAGTGCTCTGAATTTTGATTCATTTAGGGGAAAAGTAGATAAGACTGTGACAGATTCTCTGCTGAGAACAGGGAAAGCGCCTATTTTTAGTATCGGAATCTGAGGAACTGCGTGAAATATGATAAAATAAGATATACGCGGGAAAGAAAGATTTTGAAGAGCAAATTCAGATTTCTTTATAGAGCACGTTAGTATTTAGGTAATTATTGAATCTCAGGTAGCAAGCAATGTCCAGGAGACAGTTAAGATTTGGGTCTGTAACTTAGGGGAATATTGAATCAAAAGATATATTCGGCATTATTTAGTTTATCCATGATCTTTAAAATCTAGAACCCCCAGGAACCAAATCTAACACAGAGATGAAGCTCCAGAACTTTATTTTCATCATTCTTTCTTCTATATTCCTTTCCCTGTTCCCACTCTAACCCCATACAGTGACAGAGAGCAGTTGTACATTTGATATTATACAATGCCTTTCAAATAGTCATATTTCCTCTGTGCTAATTTGCATTCTTCTCCTTGCTTGACTATTTCCTTTTTTAAACTGTCAGTTGTGTCCTAAGTCGTTTTTTATATTCTTATGCAAAGATATTAAAATTCATTTGTTCATTTTTTGGTTTAGATACAGTTGTGGATCCCAATGGCTTTAATTCATGATTTTGTACTAAAAAAAAAAAAAATCAATGATTCTAACATCCATGTTGATGTGCTTTAAGTAGCTCAGTATACTAAATTGTGGTTTCTGTGTCTCCAAATACTTTTGTTTTATGTGAGTTTTCTCGTGTCATTTCCTTTGCCCAAACTGTTCAGCTTTCCTTCTGTTTGTTCAGATCTCAGACACATTTCAGAGTTCTCGCTTAACTTCCTCATTCTTCCTGAGGGGTGCCGTGATATTTCTGCTGAAAGTAGTGCTTTGTAATTTAAACATGTGTAACTTTTATAAGTACATCTTTCCTGAGAAGTAGCACATTCTGCCAGGTGCTATATTTATTTACACCCCCGTAAGTGGAAAAGGTGAAATACGCTTGCCATGCCTACAGCTTGATTCTAAATGGTTCCCTAACTGTAGCTTGCCGATGAGGGAACTTATTTTTTGAATATCAAAGACAGTGACTGTACCACTTGGTACAACTGATCGGTCAGAGTCAATTACACCTTTGCTGGACACATGAACAACGAAAGCAAATGTGCTGTCATGTCAGTGGCCTGTGCATGACCCTATGAAACCTCTAACCAAACAGGGCTGAAGGTGTTTAGCTGAGCATGTAATCAAATTCTGTCAAGAATCTGATCTTTAAGATGTATTAATTCCTGCTGTTAGAAACAGAAGAGTGAATCTGTAAGAGTCAGAGAGAAGCTAAGAAGTGATAGGATTTAAGAGAAGCTGTGTCCTGAGTGATTATTTTTTAAAGGAAAATAGAAACCGTGAGTTGCTAAAGCAAGGAAAGCATGAATTAATTCCAGCAGTAAGAGTCACTTTGCTACACAATGGTTGGAGATCAAATAGTCATGGCTCCTGAAAAAATGACAAGGAGACAAGTCTATCCTGAGAGTCACTTTATCCTCCCACGCAGCAGATTCGGTCCAAGACCCTGGGGTCCTAACCATGTCACTGTTTAGGAACTTCTATGAGATATTTTCCTATTGTGCTGTCAAGTATGTTCTCAGTATAAACTTGCGACTTAACACAGCTTCATTGAGGTTTCAGGCTACTCTACTAAAGGTAGAGTCTGTCTGGGGCCTAAGTCATGTTTACTTTATGTTTATGTTCACCCCCCTGTCGAGCAGAGTCGGTAAGGGGAAATACCCCCCAAATCAGAGTTCAATAAGAAAATAAGCAGAAAAGCTGGGCAAATTATGTAATATAACTATTGACCAATTCTTAAAAGGTTACCCTTTCTCTTCCTAATCACATGGGAAATAATTAGAAAATCATTTCCAACAAAACTCAGAATCAGAAGTTTGCCTCATATTTGGAAGCATTTTGGGAGAGACTTTGAAATTTTATTGAAGATGACTTTGAATTCAAATATGTTTTGTTTTTTGTTTTTGTGGTACTGGGAATCAAACTCAGGACCTTGCGCTTGCCAGGCAGGTGCTTGTGTCACTGAGCTATATCCCCAGCCCTAGAGGATTTTTTTTTTTTTTGGTTTTTCTCCGGTACCGGGAACCGAACTCACCACCTTGCGCTTGCCAGGCAGGCGCTTTGCCGCTGAGCTAAATCCCCAGCCCTAAATTCAAATATGTTACTTAAATAAATATTCAGATTAGTTTATTGCAAATATTAACTAATATAGTTAATCATTCTGAGGTAAATTCAACTTTTCTATTAAAATGCTCTTTAGCTTTTTAATATCCATATTTTATCCCTGTAACAATCTTACAGCGTCAGAACGGTTTCCCCTCCTTTGGAGACCAAACCTTGGAACAGACAGACTGGAAACAAGGTCAGGCTGTGATGATAACGCTGTCCAGTGTTTGCTCTGAACTGTGCCTCAGGTGCTGACCCAGCTGGACTTTGTGAAGGAGTGAGGACTAACACATGGAGTGGAAATCCAGCTCAGAGACTTAAACGCATCTTAGTTTCCTTTCATCTTGCTTCCTGACTTTTAAATCTAATGTTTCTTTAGCTCTTTCTCTTTTACTTTTATTTTTTTCCATCTTGCAATCAACCTACAAAGCACCATGTAGTATATTCTTGCATGTAGTCTTAAACAATCTTTCTCAATCTGTTACCAGCCAGGCAAAAGTTACAGTCTAGTCCTAATTGTGGGCTTGTCCCACCTTGGGTATTATACACTGGATAGGAGTCTCTCAAAGAGTGTACCCTGATTCACCCCACCACCATGCACAGCCTCTAGCAGATGTAAATATAACCCTCTGCTCACTTCAAGGAAGTAATTTATTAATTTATACTTTGCCACTTAATTCTACATTCACCCCATAGGTAAGACAATGCTTTATAAGCCATAATTTTATGCTTGGTTTAATATTTGAAAGTAAATTGATAAACTTACATATTGAAATTAAAAATTAGCTTTTCTTTGTTTTGTTTTGTTTTTTCCAGTACTGAGAATCAAACTCACGACCTTGCACTTGCCAGGCAGGGTCTGTGCCCCTGAGCTAAATCCCCAGCCCCAAAACTAGCTTTTTATAACAAAAGACTTCCAAATATTTTTATTTCACTATTAAGTGCTAATTTTATTTAGAATGTGGACAAATACACCAAATCATTTCAAGCAAGTCGCATAACTTCTTTAAGTGTACTGTTATATAAAGTTGAAATTTATTTTCTTAAGACAATCATTGTTAGGAACAGTTCACATTTGTGAAATCTTTTATAAAAAGGACAAAGGATGCATTTATGATAGTCTTTATATTAATAGCTTTTGACAGAAATTGCCTTTTTGTCCTCAATTTAGCTTTAGAAATTTGGCAAATTGGGTTTTCATGATGCTATTTAGATAAACCAAAACTTTAGAGGTAAAACTGTTATCTTTACTAAAAGCTGATTTTATGGTACTGTAGAATCAGGACATCCTACTCAAACCCTGGTCAGAGGTTAAACAGTTAAATAAAGCATGGTGAGTAAGCAAGAGTTAATCTTTAGACAGTGAAGTTTCATGCTTGAGATGAGCAAATTGTACTGAGTTCAAAGTTTAAAACCTAGTAAAATTATGTATATAAGTATATAAAGTATATATTTGTGGGAAACATGGAATATTTCATTGACAAGGAAAGAAAAATCTTTAATTGCATAGAACTAGTTTCTTTAACTGTCATTGTGAAATGAATGACATTTCAGTCACAACTGCATCTTTCATCTCCAGAATTGAAATGACTTCTGAGCCTCACAGAAGGAAGACCGATGCATTTGTTCCAATGCTGGTACCTTAGAAATACACCATCTGTCTCAAAATAAAAGCAGGAAAGGAAAACCAAAGCCCATTCAGTAGATAAAGAAAAATACTTTCTTCTGTTAGGCAAATGTTTCACAGAGTAAAAGGGGAAGAAAGTTCACAAGAATAGACATTTTCACTTCTCTAAATATTTAATATGACTAATTGCAGCCTAAGACAACGGGAATTACCAGAAAATGGAAGGGAAGTTTTAAAACTTCTTTAAAGGTATCTTGTATTTCATCCAGAATTTGGTCTAACCTTACCGTTTAAATTCAGGTAACTGCAGGATTAACCTTTAATTATCAAATGTAATCAAGTTTAGTAAATGAATTACAGTTGGCAGTAATTCTTTTTCAATACATTGCAAAAAAATCTCTATACTTAACCTGTTTTTAAAGGTGTGGACTTTTAGGGAGATTTTACCATTTTCTTGATAAAGATAGTTTGGGGGAGGAGGAAATGAGCAGAAGAAACCTCTGAAGAACTGTGACAGTTGTAGCAGAGAAAATTTTCGATAGGAAAAAATCCACTGACCGAAACATTTGTGCACAAAGTGCCTGCCAGTGTCTTCCCGCTTACCGGTGAGGAATCAGCGGAGTTCTCAGCCTCCAGGACCTTTCAAGGAACCTCTCAAGAATTCTTTGCAACTTGTATACCAGATCGTAGGGTGAAAGAGTAAAAGAACTGCTCAGACTCCACCCTGTGGGGAATTTATGTGATAACTTTAGTTCCTCCCACTTTAGCTAATCTAAATCTCCAGACGTGAGCGCGCGCACGCATACACCCGCGCCCCCCCACCCCCCCCCCCCCCCCACACACACACATAGAGAGCTAAGCAAAATGCTGCTCTTGCTCATTCATGAATTCAAGCAGGTGTGCTTCTGCTGAGCGGTGCTTCCCTCAACAATTCTGACCTTTAGACTACAGCAACATTATCTTGTCCACTATGTAGTGTGTGAGCTAGCAAATTTGTCCTGGAGCTAAATTTCAAAACTTGCACTCATTCCTTGCTCTGGAATACTCTACACACTGGAGAAAAATTCTCTTTCAACTGGCGACTTTTCCTTTGGATTTTGAGGCTGCATCTCAACACCATATGCACTGTGAGTTTTTAGTCCAGGGCGGAGCTGGTGGTACCTAAGGTTTTTAGTTAATAGTATAAAGCAGGAGATTATTTCTAGAATACTCTTTATGTCTAATATGTGGAACTTAAAAACTCTCAGGTCATGCCAGGGATGCTGGAGTATGCCTCTAATCTTAGCTACCTGGGAGGCTGAGACTGGAAGATTGAGAGTTCAAGGCTAGTGTTACTGAGACTTTCTCAAAATACAAAAAGAAGGAAAAGCAGGGGGATGGTGGTGGTTAGGGATTGTGCCTCTGTACTCCTTGGGTTTCATGTCCAGCACTGCAAGAAAACAAACAAGCAAAATGAAACAAAACAGACAGGACATTTTCTAGTTCATAAATCTAACCAGTAAGACAATCACAAAAATAAATTAAGCCAAAAACTAACCTGGGAAACTACATTATTGTCAACAATTCTAAGCCAATGAACTCTATTCCTCTACCTATGTTACCTCTCCAGACTTATTCCAAAGCTCCATCTTTTGATGATAAATGTTCTTTAGGTATAATATTTTAGGGCAAGTATTTTTAGAATTAGTAGTATAGATCAATATTGGACCTGAATAATGGAAACATTTATGTTTGGTTCAGAACCCACCACACAGTGGATAATGGATTATTTAATTTAATTACTTCTCTAAAGTGTTCGCTGTATGATCTTGAGCAATTTACTTCACTGTTGATAAGATGCAGGCTCTTATGTATCAGAGAAACACAAAAAATATCTTCCTTATAAGATTACAGAGATAATGAAAGAATACGCATAAAAAGCCATTGTACCATAGTGCTTAAATCAATCAGCAATATGGTCTTTATTTTTTAAATTAACCATACAAAAATCTCTGCCTTTTCATCTCCAAGAGGAGGGGATAGAAAATATGAAATTATTGTTAATACAAATTACTGAGCAGTGTAAATAATTTATATTTCATTTCATTAATCCTATTCTTACAATATTAAAAAATTGAGAATTCTCATTTTATTGACTTGGAACAATAAAAATTTAAATATAGTCACAGGTTTTGTCTTTGCTTTTCCTTGTTCTATAAAAACTTTGAGAGACTGGTTCTAGTCTACCATGTGGAAGTGAGCTGGTATGGTGGTGGTGGGCCTCTGTCATTTTTAGTAGGAGTGCAACAGTCCATGGTTGAGTAACTATAGATACAAATACAGGACTAAATTTCTTGTTTTTATATTGTTTCTTGTAAAATCTTCCAGTGATACCATTTAATGTAATTCCATCAGCATGTCATGTTAAGGAACTATTGTTTTACATTACTACTTTTGCAACAGTTGCTTGGAAATCTAAGGTACACTACTGTTTCTTATGATTTGTGGAATTTTCTCTTTGACTGTCATTAAAGTTGATGACTTGACTCATGTAAGAGGTATATCAAGAATACTGTATTGTCTGCCACAACTTGAAATGCTGGGCTCAAGATGGTCAGCAAAACATATTATAACTGAAGCCCTTACAAATATAAAGAATTCCTCTTCCCATGGAGGTCAGAAGAATTAAGATCCACTTTGGAGCCAGACGTGAAGGTACAAAATTTTTCATTTTTTAAAATACAGAAAAGAACAAATAGAGTGAATTTCCACTCCTTCTTTTCTTGAAAACAGAATAAAAGTCCTGTCAGGAGAAATTGTATCAATACTTATTTTCCTATTAATTTCTACATGTGCTATCTCAGTTACAACTTGATAGGTCTTTGAAAGATAGAGGCTGCAATTTTATCCTCAGAAGAAGTGGCACATGAAGGGAACAAAATAAATATTTATGGAATTGGTTAATTTCTGTTTGTTTTAAAGATTTATTTCCTTTCATTAAGACACGTGGGCGTGGAAGAACTTTTCTGTTGAAATCATGAACCCTACTCTGCGGGTCTGCCCACTGTAGGTAGGCCGGTCCCTAGCCGTGAATTCACATGATGCTGCCTGGGTGACTAACCACTTTCCATCTGGTGCAGCACATGTTCCCCTGGTAAGAATTCGGGGACCTGCTACCAGCATGACCATAACACTATGGTGTTAGATGTGCTGTTCATTCCAATGGGCGACATGACAGACCCTGCTCCTTGGTGGCCAGTCCAGGTTCTCCTGCTAAGAGTAGCCTCTAATAGTAGAAGAAAGTTACCTTGTGGGACAAGTTGGGGAAGAACAGATTAAAACTAAAATGAAAACAAAAATGCACTCTCAAACCGAAGTATCTGGGAAATTTCACATCACTTTTTTTTTCCAATGAAATAAAAAGCTTTTCAGGAGTTCAATTCTCACTTCCCCAAAGGAGAATTTAATCTGAGTCTTTTCTGGGACCATCCTACACTCTTCCACAGGGTGAAGTTCACACATGATTTACACAACACTCTGCAGTCTAGGATAGAGCAGACAGCTTCTTTCTTTCCCTTCTTCTGCCTCTGTCCACCCCACCCTGCTCTGCATACTGCAAGCATTTGTCTCTTCTGCTTGGAGGTAACCCGGGTGACATATCACAAGCTTCTCAAATGATGGGTCAAGGAGTTCTCCTCAAGCAGTTTCTATTCTGAAGCCAAGGAACACACAGTCTTCTCCATACGAGGAGGGAAAATACAGCTTTCCCTGTGCACCAACAGAGGATTGGTGCCTGGATGTCCACAGGCCCTAAAATTCCTGGATGCTTAAGTCTTTTATATAATATGGTACAGTTCATGCATATAGCCTACACATATAATTCATATGATATAGAACATTTCTAGATTACTTATAGTAAGCAGGACATTGTAAATTATATATTTGTGCAATATTAGTTATTCAGTAATGGTAAGAAAAGAAAGTCTATATGGATGCACTTTTTTCTTAAATATTTTCTGTCCATGATTTGTGGAACCCACGGGTATGGAAAAGGAGCCATGCAAAGAACAGAATGGACCTTTCCCCGACTCTTCTCTTTATGTTTCTCCCTTCTTTCTCTCCTGTCCTCTGTCCTGCCTCCACCTCCCTTCCTCTATTCCTCCTTTCCCCATCTCTCCTCTTCTCTACCACTCCCTTTTTTTCCCTTCGCCCCTTCTCTTTCCACTCCTCCCCTGCCTGTTTTTTCCCCATTTCTTTCACTTCTCTCCCTCCCTTACCCCTTCTACCGTTTCCTCTCCTTCACTTGTATAACAGGGAAAACAAAGCAAATTTATAGACTAATAAATCACTAGGCTCTCTGAAGACCGTCTGTTCTCTACTTCCCATGAGATATGTATTTTAGGTATTAGAAATATTTACTAGTAGCACACAGGGACTTTCTGAATATCCTACATGTACTTTCTTCATTTTTTTTCAGAAGAAAACATAAATGCTTATTATAAACCAAAGGTGTTTTACCAGTTAGTCATTAAAATTCATTTCAAAATTAAAGCTCCTATGACAATTCACTTCTCCAGATCAAAACTTCCCTCCATTATTAAGTTCACGAAATCATTTAACACAATCTATATTTTGTGCTGTAGCAGGGGAACTTTATTAGTTATGTGTGTCTGTGTATCAATTTGCCCAAATGTCTTGTTTACATGAAGAACTGGAATTAATAAAGCAATATTATTTTGTCTGTATTCAAATAGTATACAGATGGAGCTGTAGTTTCCAAATTTATTTTGAAATAAGCAAATGTCTTTAACATTGCTACCCACATTTTAGTTTGCTATTCTTGCTTTAGTGAGTCATAATATTTGAATTCCTAGAACATAAATTAATTAGTAAGTTACCATAAAATATTTTTAAGCTTCCACTGCAGAGCAAGGGTTTGCTTTCAAACAAATCATTCTGTAGTTATCTCTAAAGTTTGTTCGATAACAGCTTTGCACAAATTAATGTTATTATGTCTGTTATCTCCCTCTTGATAACTACATGTTCTCTGAGGTCCTTGTAAATCACAGAAAACGAGGAATAACATGAGTTTTATTGACACCATTGACTACATTATAATACCATTGATATAATTATGACTCGTTAAATGGGATCACACATTGCAAATTGTCTCCACGTGAAGACAAAGCATTTGTACACTAGGGTTTGTTTCTACAATACAATAATGATATCCCTTTCTTACTGTAGCTTGTGTCTCACAATGCTCTTTTAATACTAAAAATTATTGCAAAAGGAAAGAAGATAGGGAAGGGTAGAGCTCTACAAACATCTCTTGAATCAGATCTTTTTCTTTCATTTGACATATCTTCCTGTGTTTATTTGACAAAGTGTTTTCTGGAGTCACTAAAAAATGTTTTTAAAATACTCACTGTGAGTGTGTCCAGTGTCTGTCTTTACAACAGCTTCTCTAATCATATGTGGCTTCCCACACCTGACAAATGAGAGGAGATTCCTAAATATTCTTCATCCAGCACTGTAGATCTCACTACACTAGCGTCCAAAACATGCAGTTAAGATACTAAGAGTCAAATGGAAGTGCTTATTTTGAGAAGCTCTTCTTTAGCTCGGAGTAGCCGTAATGAAGAGAGAGAACTGTGTAGGCATAGAACAAAACACGAAGAGTGTTGGGATTTTAACTTGTATATATACATGAGAGCAGGATCCTAGTCTTTAGAAAGGTTTTTGTAAATTCAGGGAAGGAAATGATATTTTTAAACAAAGAACAAATTT